CCTGGTTCCTTGAGCCTTGCAGGGCCTCTGGGGCTGCAAGCCGCTCCATCCCAGAATCCCAGATGATTCGTAGGTTCAGTATCATTTGTGTCCAGTTGATTTTATAGTAAAAGAAGGGTTGTTGATCTCGTCCGTTAGATATAGGATGTGCAGGGATAGGAGAGCAATTAAGACTAAAATGATCGCGAGCAAGACCAGTTCAAATGGTTTCTATTTCTTGAGCGTCTGTAATACTGGTGTTGGTTAGTTTTGTTGTGAGGGTTGAGGATAGGACATATAAGACTAGAAAGCTGATTAAGGATACGATTATAAAAGTGTGATCGGCCGGGTGCGGTGGCTCAAGCCTGTAATCCCAGCACTTTGGGAGGCCGAGACGGGCGGATCACGAGGCCAGGAGATCGAGACGATCCTGGCTAACACGGTGAAACCCCGTCTCTACTAAAAATACAAAAAACTAGCCGGGCAAGGTAGCTCTGCCTGTAGTCCCAGCTACTCGGGAGGCTGAGAAAGGAGAATGGCGTAAACCCGGGAGGCGGAGCTTGCAGTGAGCTGAGATCCGGCCACTGCACTCCAGCCTGGGCAACAGAGCGAGACTCCGTCTCAAAAAAAAAATAAAAATAAAAAAATAAAAGTGTGATCATGAAAAGCGATTAATTCCTCTATAATAGGGGATGTGGCATCTTGTAGACCTAGTTGAACTGGGTGAGCCATATAAGATATATAGGGTTTAACCTATGACTTAGCTTTGACAAAGCTATGAAATAATTTTTCTAATGTCTCATTGAAAAAGTTATACAGGTTATAGGGTTGGCTTGAAACCAGTTTTAGGAGGTTCGATTCCTTCCTTTTTCGTCTAGTTTAATATAGGTTGGTTCTTCAAATGTGTGGTAGGGCAGAGGGCAACCATGCAGTCACTCCAGGTTAGTAGAAGGCTGCTCAATTAATAAGACTTTACATTTTGAGGCAAAGGCTTCTCAGGTTATATAGATTATTAATATTACCACTACTAGGGAGATGAAGGAGCCTATAGATGATAGATTTCATGTAGTATAGGCATCAGGATAATCAGAATAGCGTCGGGGTATTCTGGATAGGCCAAGAAAGTGTTGTGGGAAGAAAGTTAAATTTACACCTACAAATATAATGGTGAAATGAGCTTTAGCATAAGTTTGGTCTAGAGTATAGCCTGAAAATAAGGGGAATCAATGAATAAAACCCCCCATGATGGCGAATACAGCTCCTATTGACAGGACATAGTGAAAGTGGGCTACAACATAGTATGTGTCGTGTAGTATGTGTCACTATGCTGTAAGAAACACCATTCTCACACAAACTTGATGAGTAGGTTTTAAAAACCTGACTTGCAGAGGCAGAGCCGCCGCCCTGCCGCGACTTTCAGACTCCGACCATGGCCTAGCGCCGGTGGCAGTGGGCGAGCGGCTGCTCCTGGAGGCCGGCGACGCGGGCCTGGTTCCTTGAGCCTTGCAGGGCCTCTGGGGCCGCGAGCCGGCTCACAGGCGGTAGGAATTTGTTTTGTCTCAGATACCTTATTTCAGTCTTGTGAGGCATTTAACATCTGCCTGTCCAAATGTATATAGTATATCACGGTGTTATCACACAACCCCGGACAGTAAAACACACAGTGGTGAGAAATATACAGATCACCGATCCTTTCAAACTCGGTTGGAGAGACTTGAAAGGTCTGTATGAGGACATTAGAAAGGAACTGCTCATATCAACAACAGAACTTAAGGAAATGTCGAGTACTACTCTGATGGAAAAGGAAAAGCCTTTAGACCAGTTATTGGGGTGCTAATAGCCCGAGCATGTAATATTCATCATAACAACTCCCGATCCGATGTCGTTTTCACAAGCAGATTGCTGAGAAGGTTCTAGGCGGCGTCTCTTAAAAAGCATTGCTTTCTGTTAATTTGACCTGTGCCAGCCAGCCAGCGGGCCATAGCCTTAATTGCAGAAATGATCCACACTGCTTCACGATGACGTTATTGACGATGCATGTTCTCGAAGAGGAAAACACAGTTAATAAGATCTGGGGTGAAAAGAAGATACTTTTTTTGGTTTTTTAAAATCTTTCTTACCGAATTACAAGCTTTTTGGAACGTGTTTGCTTTTCAGATTTGTCTCATTAAAAAGTAAAATGTGCTTGCTCAAAAAACAAAACAAAACAAAAAAACCCGAATTGCAATTAAGTCTTTGTTTCTGCCGTCCTTACGACGACCTGGACAATTGTCCTATTACTAAATTTGCCCTTTTCCGTAAAACATTGACAGCCCCTAACCTGAATAGCACTCTGTTGGGTCTAAGCTTAAATTGTCTGCCCAAACCAATTTACACCAAAGTAGGAATTAGGTTTAAGTTCTCTTTTAGGACATTCGGATTATATATCCTAAGGTATTACAATACCTCTATTACACTTCTGTTTCTCGTTTGGAGAATTAACGTGGCAGCATCGTCTAATTTGATACCTGGAGGAGTCATGTCCACTTTTCCCATCGGCCTGTCAAACCCGTATCATTCATTCTTGACTCATCCTGTGACTTTGTGAAGCCTTTCTTGGTAAACCTATCCACAAGGAAGACCCTTTATGTCATCACCAGCCCTTGTGCATGTTTCAATTATAGTACCTATCATCTTGTACTGTGATTGCCTAATTTATTTTTGCATCTCCAGCTCTACATACTGTACCTGGCAAACAGCAGGTGCTCAATAACTGCGAAATGAACGAGTCCATGTGAAGAGACTAGGCCGGGAGTTTTAAAAACCAATGTTGACTGTGAAACAAAATACGGAAATGTCAAGGGCTACTGTAAAAATAATCTCTAATAGCACAGAATCCTCCTAAAGGGAACACCTGTCACACTTTCTCACGTTGCTTTCCAGGCTCTTCCGATACCCCAATTTCCCGCCCACTCTTCTCCCTCCGGGGGACAGGTCAGGCAGGTATCCCAGCTCGGCGGCTCTGATAGGTCGGCGATGATTTCATTGTTAGGGAACATCCGGGCCTTTCCCCTCCCCGCAATACCTCCCCAGAGCCTGGCCTTCCCAGTTTCCCACTCCCGCGTGCGCCCCACCCGCGGCTGAAGCAAAACAACTGCCTCTCCCTTGCCCACTTCTTGTCCTCGTCTGAGCCATCCCTTCCCGTCTACGCCGAAGAGAGGCGTTTATTTCCTCCAATAGGGGCCTAGGAGGACTTTCTTAGCCAATCAGTAGCCAAGCCCTTGCAATTCCGGGTGGGACCAGGCGTCCACACCTATAGCTGGACTGCTCGTTGGTCCCTTATGGCGCTTGATTTACGCAAGGCTTAGAGGTCAAATACAAGGGGGCACGGTCCTCACAGAACGGAAAGGATCCGTACAGACTCTCTGGGTTTGACCGTTTTCTAAGACGAACCAATCGCTTTTCAGATACCTCCCCGCCTTTTCCGCGTTCATTTGAAAAAAAAGCCGGTGTGACGGACTTGGAAATTGGCTCAGTGACTGACCCGCAAAGAAAGCCAGTGACTGGGGGTTCGGACCACGATTTGGACCAATAAGAGAAGGCAATCGCTGGGGCCAGGGCTTTGCTAGGAGGAGCGCAGGTGGGCGTTATTTGATTGACGGCGGGCTCTACTTATGGCTGGTAGCGGGGGCTGGTCCCTGACGTTTGGGAGGTAGGACCTAACGGAGGCGGGGCCGAATAAAGTAAATGGTAATAAAGGGTTGGGTCTCACTTAGTGGGCGGTGTTTGATGGACAGCTGACGTTGCCAATTGAAAGTAGCCACTGATGTCCAATGGGAAATTAGAAACTCAGAGGCGGGGCCGGGTGGGCGGGGTAAACTAAGTACGGAGGTGCCGAGGGAGCAGCACTGGGAGGGGGAGCGGTAATTGACAAGACTCCCAGCAAACCAGAGGCCGCGACAGGGCGCGCGGCATCCCAGTGGGTGGGAGCTGGAGGCGGGGCTCCCTGAGGGGCGGGGAAGGACTAGGGTGCGGGGAGGGGGTTGCAGAAGGAGCCGAGCGGCTTCTGCTCAATGGCGGAAAAGCCGCCAGTGCTCTGACTGCCTCCTTCCCCTAGCAGTTGCGGGGGAGTTTCCTGCCGGCGCGGCTGGAGTCTCTGATTCTCAGGGTTAGGTGGTTGGAAGATGCTCCAGAGAGACGAGGCTGCGGCGGAGGAGGTGGCGGCGGCCGAGTCGGCAACGGCGCTGGGGTGGAGAGAAGGCAGCAGCGGCGGCGGCGGCGGCGTGAGGGGCCGGGCGGTGTAAACAGCCCCGGAGGCGGCGGAGGCGGTCGGTGGTCGAGACCCCGAGGGGGAAGCGGCGGCTGAGTCAGGGTCGCGCCTCCGTTGGAAACTTGGGTTGAGTACCGCGGCGGGCGCGAGCGAGGCGCCCTAGACATCTTCTCCCTCCCTTGCCTCAGGTAAGGCCGCCCGGCGCCCCGCCGGAGGGGAAGCGGCTGACTGGCCGGGCCGCCGAGGCCCCGAGCCCTGGGCAGGTTTTCGCGGTGCCGCCGAGCCGCGGCCGGGGCCTCTGTCCTTCCGAATCCTCGCTGCTTTCCCCGCGGAGCCTAGGTGGGGGAACGCCGTGCCTGGCTCTCGGGTAGGCCCCTTCCCCGGCCGCCGCCTCCGCTCAGCTGAGGACTGGGAGAGGCGCGGGGAGAGAATGGGAGTTTGCTCGAACGCCTGGACGCCAACTGATTCCCTCTTCCCTCCGCTTCAGTCTTCAAGCATCTCTTTCACACGAAAGCGCTGGGGCTACCCCAAGCGTTGGCTCTTCTCTTCCTGGTGCATGCCCTCTTTGAAAACACTATCTTTTCCCTTTCATTTCCTCATCAGCTTCTGCCCTACTCTGCGCTTCACTTCACTTCCTTGTTAAATCGTCTTTCTCTGCTGTCTGTGCGTTCTACCCTCGCCTTGCCTCCTTAGTGGCTTTAAATTGTGTTTCTCTTCTCATCGTACCCCCGGCATCTCTTGTCTGCCTTCCCTAGCACCATCCTTTTCAGATGTCATTCCTAACAGCGAAGTTATTAATTGAAACTGCCACTTATTTTCAGTACCCCAAATCTACCGGAGCCCCATTAAGAGTATAGACTGACAAGCCATAGATCAGTTTTTTTATAGTTTAAGCCTAACAGCCTTAAAAAAAATTGTATTATTAAACGTAAAGTGTGAAAATAACACCTAAAATGATTTTTTAAATGAAGGACTCAGTGAGTGTTGGAAATAGTTATTTCTTCATTTTTTAAAAATTGCATGACCTCTCATGTCAGATTTAGCAGATCTAGGACGTTTGCCCATCTTATCTGGCAAAAAAAGTGCTTCCTAGGCATTTGATAGCAGCCCAAATTCATCAATATTCAATTTCTTCTAAAAACTTTTTTTAAAAAGAGACATTAATAACTAGGAAGCTGTTTTGATAAAGTCACAGTTAAAGAGCTTTTAAAATAGGCTCCACATGTTTAATGTATCAAAATAAAGTTGGCAGGCATGTTGTAAAAGGATTATTTAGGAATTTGAGTAGTCTTAGTGTTATGTAGCTATTTTAGGAAAAACATTCTTTTTCTGTTAACAAACGTTTACAACGACGGTGATGTGAGAATTACTGAGGCTTATTGTGGGATTAACACAGGAACTGTCTTTATTTGAGCTACTGCATGGATGAAGAAGTGGTAAATTGTTCAGGGTAGACAGTGTAAGTCACAGTATGTTCTAGGAGATGGAGAAACATGCTATGGACACTGAATGTTAATAGATGTTATTTCATTTACTTTCTCTGTTGTGCAATAGCAAAGTTCCTATTGTTGGCCTACTTTTAAATAGAGCATTTCTAAGTAAATAGTGAGACAAGTTATTCTAATTATTATGATAGTCTTTTCCAAGTGAACAGGCCTGTTAAAAATATAGCTGAAGTAATGGTAATTTTTTAAGGAAATGTTTTTGTAGGTCTGCCAAATGGACAGTGTGTTGTTCTAATCGAAATTTTAAAATTATTTAGAACAGAATATTTTAGTCAACAGATTTTCTTTCAGGGATAATCTTTATTTTGTGCTGCTTCTCTCAATGCCTTCTTTGTCTTTTTTTTTTTTTTCTTAATGGTTGTTGTGTTTTCGCCTCTTCATTTGTTTTTGCTCTCATAAAGTCTTATAACAGTTTCTGCAGTGGTTATTGCTGTGTATTAGTATGCAGTAGTAGTTTTATTTGAGCTTTCATGCTTTAAGATTTCATACTTTAAGATATCCTCTGGATTTGTTGAAGTGATTATTCTCTTTGATGTGACCAGCAGAGCTTTCAACACTGTTTTCTTACACTGGGTGTCTGATTTCTGTGAAGACTCTAGGAATAGGTGAAAGGCCTTTCAGTTTAGTCATGTCAGTAAATACTGTTTTATGTTAGTAATTCACCTAATTACTAAATTCCTTAAGATTACATCATCTGAAGGAATGGTGTAGTGTCCAAGTAACTGTGCTTCTAAGAACAGCTGATTCACAGGTTGAAAAGGTCAGAAAAAGTGGCTCTTGTTGAAAGTTATCTTTGCTATAACAAACATTTTTTTATGGAATCTTTTGAATTAAAATACGATGGTGATTATGTCTTGGCAGTCTTGGAATAGTAGAATTGGCCACAGTATCACTTAGTGATTGTGGTGATTTATTAAAAAGAGGCTATATAGGCCAGGTGCGGTGGCTCACGCCTGTAATCCCAGCACTTTGGGAGGCTGAGGCGGGTGGATCACTTGAGGTCTGGAGTTCGTAACCAGCCTGGCCAACATGGTAAAACCCCATCTCTGCTGAAAATACAAAACTTAGCCGGGTGTGGTGGCGCATGCTTGTAATCCTATCTACTCAGGAGGCTGAGGCAGGAGAATCACTTGAACTCAGGAGGTGGAGGTTGCAGTGAGCCGAGATCGTGCCACTGCAGTCTAGCCTGGGTGACAGAGTAAGACTCTGTCTCAAAAAAAAAGAAAAAAAGGCTATATTTCATGAATATTTTTGTGTGTAACTATTTTAAAGTATTTTGTGACATTACTTAGCATAGAAAGTAGTTAAGTAGTATAATTCTAACTCTCACTTTTAAAAAATGCAGCATGTAGTATTTTATATTTTCTGTGAAATATGCCTTTCACAATTCACTGATTTTAATAAAAATTAGTCAGCAAACAAATAACCAATGGCATCAGAATAACAAAAGTTTTTTAATCCAAAATTATAATAGCAAAATTTATTCAAGTAATAGCATAAAATGTGAAATCATGATTAATGGTAAGATAATTTTTGGGAGTATGATATTCCTGGATTTTCAGTTATTCTTCACATTGTACCTGATTCTTTTTGTTTTTCCCTTACTGAACTAATTTCAGAATTGGAATGAAATGGAATACTGCTATTTATATGAGCAGCTTTGAAGTTTTATTGTAAAATGTATCTTACATATTGTTATTAGCAGAATTGATGGTTAAGAGTACGGACATTTCACTATCCTATACTTAAACATTGATGGTAAAATGGTTTTGGGAAATATTTAATTTTTGTAGTTTGTTTTGGCTGTCATAAAATTTGCAGAATGACAACTTTTTAGCTTCTAGTGGCTGATCTAACAAGAACAGGTGAAGAAAAAGATATGTGAGCTTCATAATCTGTATTTTTTCTTTGTTTTTGTTGGTGATGCTTACTTACATCAAAACATTGAGTTAAAAAATGGGCTTTCATCTTTTGGACTAATTTAAGTATGCTATTATCTTTGATTAGCCATTTTAGAATCTTTGCAAGTAAAATGTTTCTAGGCCAGGCACAGTGGCTCACTCCTCTCCCAACGTTTTGGGAGGCTGAGGCAGATGGATTGTTTGAGATCAGCGTGGGCGACATAGCAAGACCCTGTCTCTACAAAAAATAAAGTTAGCTGGGCGTGGTGGTGTGCACCTGTAGTTAGCTACTTGGGAGGCTGAGGTGGGAGGATCACTTGAGCCAGGGAGGTCAAAGCTGCAGCGAGGTGTGATTGCACCGGTTTACTCTAGCCTGGATGACAGAGTAAGACCATGCCTCTATTTTTTAAAAAATTCTGATGTGATTTAATCTCTTTGTGTCCATTTGATTTAAGATGATTGACACTTTGGAACATTTCCATCTATATTCCTTTTCTTAAAGACTACGTGGAAGACTAACAAGTGTGGCCAGGTGCGGTGACTCACGCCCGTAATCCCAGTACTTTGGGAGGCCAAGGCGGGCAGATCTCTTGAGACTAGCCTGGCCTGACCAACATGGTAAAACCCAGTCCCTACTACAAATACAGAAATTAGCCAGATGTACTGGCTGGCCAACAAAGACTGTTAGACCAGATAGTTGAAAGAGCGTTATGATGAGAAGAACCCTTTACTAAATTATTGATGATGTTATGAAATTTTCCAAAAGCGTAATCTATATAGTATACTTATTTTTCAGAGTATTTAAAGATTTTGAGAGTTAGTTTTTAGTAGCATATAACATCCTAGGAAACATAAATACTGTACGATAACTTACATACTTTTTTTCTTTTTTGTTTTCTTTTTTCATTTCTTTTTTGCCCCTCAAGATCTCACACTTTATAGTTTTCATTCAAATTACAGGGTGCTTTATTTCTCCCCTTCAGGCTAACTTTAATAACAACCATAAACACTTTACTGAATTATGGTAAATCATGACACAAAAGAGTGCTTAAGTATATTTTTTCTTTTTATTTTACTATAACTAACTTGTGATCACATCTACAATATCTTGTTATTGCTTGGCCTAACATACACCTTTTTAAGTAATACTCTTCATGGCCGGGCACAGTGGCTCATCCCTGTAATCCCAGTACTTTGGGAGCCCGAGGTTGGTGAATCACTTGAGGTCAGGAGTTCGAGACTAGCCTGGCCAACATGGTGAAACTGTGTCTCTACCAAAAAATAGAAAAATTAGCTGGGTGTGGTGGCACATGCCTGTAGTCCCAGCTACCCCGGAGGCTGTGGTGGAGAATTGCTTGTACCCAAGAGGTGGAGGTTGTAGTAAGCCAAGATCATGCCACTGCACTCCAGCCTGGGCGACAGAGTGACACCCTGTCTCAAAACAAAAATAATAATAATACTCTTTGTAATAACTTGTTTAACCACAAGAACCTTGTAGCTTAATCAATTGTAGTATTTTAATTTGTTAGTTCATATATTATACATTTGATGTGGTTTATAACATTTAAAACATATTTTACTAATTTAAAACTTTTGATTTATCACATAGTTTAATATTAAGTTGCTAAATGTAAAATGGATTCAAAGTTTTCTCTTGGAGAATGTTGAAGTATCATAAAGATTGTATTTTTTAGCTTTAAATTGATTCATTTCTTGAAAATTAAAAATCTTGAAGTTTAGAAACATAACACTTCTTGGAAAATTGTTTTGCATCCTTGTGAA